CCAGTGAAATATATTTATGTTTGTGGTTGTAATGTGACAAAATATGGAAAAGTTCAAGGGGTATGAATACTTTTGCAAACCACTGTATATCTAGGTTGGACAGAAAACAAAACAGAAAACATATTCTGTGATCGGACGAATCCATGTTTCTGTTCGCTTTTGGGAAACAGGGGGAGCTGTAAGCACCGAAGGTGAGAAAATCTCTCCAGGTTGTCATCAAGAAAAGGTGAAAATGCCAGAGCCTGTACCGTACAGTGGTGCCCTGCTGCTCACAGCAGTATCACTGATGCAGAGGCGAACGCTGGATGTTTGGAGCGACATATGCAACCATCAGGCAGGTCTTCCCAGGGGGGTTGTTGTTGTTTGAGCAGGACAATGCCAGATCTCATTCTGCATGACTTGAAACAGTGTGATTTTGTAGAAACGTGTGTGCGGTTCACTGATCTGACTGCTGTCCAGATCTGTCTTCTTTTGAAAAGTTTGAAAGGTTTTGTTCTTTATGTGCGAGTGTGTGTGTGTGTGTGTTGTATCTTGAAGAAGAGAGTCAGTCAACAACGACCAAACACAGCTGCATTCCTGAAATCTTTTATTCAACAGGAACGGACCTTTTACAAAACAACCAAATATAGAGAGGTCATTTTACAAACTTTCAAACCCCTGGCACTTTTTTGGATCTGTTTAGACTTTCTAAACACAGGTAAGCTGATCAGTAACTGTTTATTTCCGAAACATGGAAACGCTGTTTTGATAACACATTTAAGCAGGTTGAAGACTTCATCTTCATGAATGTCAAAGTATAGATTTTCCAAACTGAACTTTATTTTTGCACAAACAATAAAACCAGTGTTCAGAATGTTAGATCTGTCCTCTTTTGAAGTACTTGCAGCTGCGTGACCACTAGATGGCGATGTTTGATTTACTTTTTCGCAGGCTGCAACTGGAAACATGTTTTCTTTGTATAGCTGACAGAGTTCAAGCACACAGGCCGCTTTAGCTTGTGACACTTTTTTTTTCCAAATATGGGAGAATTTTGGCTTCTCAGTCTATCTTTTAAAATTTAGTTACTTCTTTTTATTCTAATACAGGATTGTTAGTTTATTTGTTTTTATTCTGAACACAGGATTTTTGCTGAGCCAACAGGTGCTGAAATCATTTAGCACTGACTGACTCAATGCCATTAAAGCCTGGTACATCTCTGTGTAGTCCTCGGCGATGATGAGTAACAAAAAGTCAGAGTTTAATGCATTCCCAACAGCCACTCATCATCCATAAACCAGAGGAGCTGATTGAAATAACACATTATTTTTTATATTTTTTGTAAATAAACTGCCTGTCTCTGAGGCTCTGGTATCTACAAGCAGTAAAAACATGTCAGCTCCCATGATGTATTTAGATGTTTTAGTCTGTCTGATGGAGGAAAGGCTGAGTCACAGCCTCCTCTCGCTGTCCCATCCTCCATTTTCATTTTCACTGACCTCACCACTCAGGCGCCTGTACGTTAAAGTTCTTACAAATAGGCCCATTTTACCAGACATCTGTTAAATGATTTGTTTGTTCCTGTATCTTGATTTTATTTTCAAAAGGTAAAATAAAAGGAGCTTGTAATTGTTTACGGGGTTTTGGTTGAATTTGTTTCCTTTGTTTCCTGTCATTATACTGTATTCCATAGCTGAACAGAAGACAGATTATTTTGTTTCAATTTGCCTGTATTTTTATCTGTCAAGACACTCTGTAGGTGGGTGAGAAGCTGTTTAGAGAGAAATGTTCAGGTGAAAGGAAAAAAAAAATCAATGTTGCGCGTCAGAGAGATGCTGTTCTCTGAGTGTGCTTTTGCAATAATAACGGATGTCTGATGTGGAACAGCAGGTGCAATTTCAATTCCAGATGAAGGGTCCAGGTAGAGGGGCTGCATGCTGTCACTGTGCGTTTTACATGATTTGAACAATTCAGAGAATGACACAAATTCTCTGAAAACCCTTTTTTTTATCGCTATCCAGTTACAGTTTGTGTAAAACCAAATGTGTTTAACACATTGTGTTTATGCTGTACGGTGTACATTTTAGGACATCCTCAGTTTTACTTGTCAGTCATCAGTTGTCAGCAAAAAAGTTTTCAGTTTTACTTGTCAGTCATCAGTTGTCAGAAAAAAAGTTGTCAGTTTTACTTGTCAGTCATCAGTTGTCAGCAAAAAAGTTTTCAGTTTTACTTGTCAGTCATCAGTTGTCAGCAAAAAAGTTTTCAGTTTTACTTGTCAGTCATCAGTTGTCAGAAAAAAATTTGTCAGTTTTACTTGTCAGTCATCAGTTGTCAGAAAAAAATTTGTCAGTTTTACTTNTCCTGACCTGTAGATGAGTGTAAACTGCAGAGTCCTGACCTGTAGATGAGTCTAAACTGCAGAGTCCTGACCTGTAGATGAGTGTAAACTGCAGAATCCTGACCTGTAGATGAGTGTAAACTGCAGACTCCTGACCAGACAAAGTAGCTCGTCTGTGCTGGCTCATTCTTTTGAACAGTGGCTTTTTTGTTTCCCCAATGTTTAACTGATCACAGTCCTCCTGACACTTAACAGCATACACTATATTACTCTGTTTTTGCTGGGGAACTGGATCTTCAMGGTGAACTAATCTTTGTCGTAACGTGTTTTGGGGTTTGAAAGCCACTGCGACGTCATGTTTAGAGAATAAACGTCTCAGTTTATCTGAAACTCCCTCCACATATGGAATGATGACTGGTTTGGGCCTGGGTTTAGGGTCTTCATTTTCAGCTGGTTGTTGACTGGAATCCTGTTTGGGTTTCTTGTCTGCTTTCAGAAAAGCTCAGTTAGGATAACCGCACTGCTCCTCTTTGGCATGTGACTAAATAGAGCTAATGAAGTCTACTGTTAGGCGATGGCCCTCTTTTGCATGTGACTAACCTGTTTGTCCATGTGGAGGTGGAGCTTATAAGGCTGAGTTCACCTGAAACTCATCAGACTGAAGAAGTCTCTTGGAGGAGAGATGAAACTTTTCACTAAAGAAGAACCATCCAGAGGACCTACTTATTTTTTCTTTTTGATTCCTGTCTGTTTTTTTTTTTTTTTCAGATAAAGATTCTAATAATGACAGATCAAGTTTTTGTGTTTTAGCAAACCTTGCAGTATTTCTGCTGTGACAGTTGGATTACTGTACACTGAGTGATGCGCTCGTGTTCAGGTCGATGTGTTGGCTTGCAGGTGACCTACAGAGTGATCCAGGTGTCGGACGGCCAGTTAGAGGGTCAGGCAGACGGAGCTGCAGCCGTTAACCTTGTTGCTGGTTTCCCTGCAGCGACGCAGACCGTCACACAGGTTAGAACAACACACTGCGCACTAACTGCAGAGAAAATACAAGATTCTAACTTTCATCTAACGTGTGTTCACACTTTACCAAATACACCGAAACAATAATCCTGTTTCCTTCCAGTTATAGAGTGAATTTTTATTGAGCTTTTCATCAAAAAATTAAATAAATAAAAATTTGAATCTCGACTGTTTCCATCTAGTTTCCCTCTCGACTGTTTGATGCAAATATACGAGGCTACGCAACGCATATTACGTCAGACGAGGCTACGCAACGCGTGATTACGTGAGGCTACACAATGCATGATTACGTCAGACAAGGCTACGCAACGCGTGATTACGTCAGACGAGGCTACGCAAAGCATTATTACGTCAGACGTCACAACAAACTTTGCGGTAGTAAACAGGAAGTGAAACTTGCTAACTAGCAGAGGCTAATCATCTCGGGACAATGGAGCGAATTTTTTTCGTGAATGCCTTGCTATTGGGCAAGTTGTAATTATTCTATCTATTCAGCTAGTACAGGCTATGTTTAACGCTGCCAGGAGACGTAGGGAAATAAACGCAATGTTAAACTACGCAGCAGAAAGGCACGTGTAACTACACAGGGCTAACATCCGGGACGAGGCAGGAAAGTGGAAACAGCTGAACGTCACGTGAGGTAAATATGCGCTACGTCAGAATTCATTCGGCAAACATGTTTCCATCTCCCGTTTTGTGCATTAACTATTTCGTGAATCTTCCAAAAACCACCTCAAGCGAGCGTAAAAACTTTTTAGCGAATTGAGGATTTTTTTTCGAATTTTGTTGTTTCCATCTGACTTTTTTTCACATTTTAATGCGAAACTTCTGAATGCACATCAAAAAACCTTGATGGAAACATGGTTACTCAGCAGTTAGGTGAGATGTGTACACTAACTCCAAGTTAAGTTCAGGGAAACTGTTTTATTTAAGGTTGGGTAAGGGCAAACCTGAAGATGTTTTCAGATATGAGTTTGCCTTAAAACAATCTGATAATGAAGCAGAATTACTAAAGCGTGACGTCAGGAGAGGAGCTTTAATCATAAATATAATCTGTTCTCACTCTCAGTTAATTCTTCTGTTAGACAGTTGCCTTTCATCAGAAAATTCAATAAAAATAAATAACAGAAAAAAACGGAGCAGTCCTGTCTGGGGTTTTAGTTGTTCCTTTGTTTTTACAATAAAGTGATGAATTTGTTTAAGTCTTAGTGACAAAAACATACTGAAACCAGGACAGTGTTAAACTGAAGAAGTTCTTTAGTCCAAGGATGTTTATAAAAAGTTAGAAACAATGGTGAACAGTCAACACATAAACAAGCTAAATGATCCCTGATTAGTTGTAACATTAGACTTTATCTTTATTATTCTATTCTATTCTATTCTATTCTATTCTATTCTATTCTATTCTATTCTATTCTATTCTATTCTAAACATCAAGTGGCGAGGAGAAGAAAAAAAACCAGGACCCGGTCCACCTCGGTGGGGTAGGCTGGGTCCTTTGTTTAATCATGTCATCAGTTCATGACATCATTGAGCCTCAGCACCACGGTTGTTTTTCTTCACATGTCGACTGGCCCGGTTCTGTTACTGCCTCGCTCTGTGATGCACGAATGAAGCTTTGTTCAATTAGTCAAGAAGTTATGGACAGGATAAAATAACGTTTAGACCATGCCTTAAAGAGTCGTATAACAAAACAAACTTCATCTTTTCCACATGACTGATTGTTTCTGATTCACAGGCACTCATGTGGTGTTTTTCATACGCCCTCTTCCTCATCACTATAACACCTATAATAATCCTCAATCAGACAGTCCTGTCTGTAAAACAACCTGTTCTGTTTTAGGCCGTTATCTCTCAGGAGGAGTTGGAGGGGGACGGCAGCTCTGAGACTCAGTACACCTATTACCCCACCTCCATCGCAGATCCTTCAGCTGGCACCATGGTGACCACTGTGCAGGCGTCTGACACACTGCTGGGTCAGACCACTCCCACAGGTGAGCGCCTCATCATCAGCTCACATTATAACCAGACTTCACAGGTCACCTTCTAGAGAAGGATGCCAAATCAATCATTGAATACAGTGACACAACTGTCTTTGAGATGATCTTTATCTAAGATCATAAGGCCCATTTGAAATGTGTTCTGCTCTTATGTTGTTTGTGTTACACACTGAACACCATGAGTTTGACTGTAACAATAAACTGTCCTGATGCATCTCAATAATCAGGTAGAAAAATCTAAAATAAGTTAATTAGGTCTTCAGACCATGGTCTGGTTAAAAACCAGAAAGACTACCATGATAAGTTTATGACACTCCAGGAGGCGATAAACTGCAGTGATTAACGGCTGTCATCACAGCCAGGGTGAAACCCGACACACGGGACGCAGAGGTGACGGCAGCGCTCTCAGCTCGCTTGTCTTCATGAAATTTGATTGGTTCTTCTACTGCCTCTTGTAAAGGTTATTGGTGGTTCACAAAAAGGGGGCGTGCATTATGGACGTGTAAACTAAATTACAGCAATAATTGTAGGTGAACCTGAGTGAAATCTTATAGGAAGAAGAGAATGAGAGGATTTCACTGCAGCTCATTGGAAGCTCTTGTTTTCCAGGTCAGCTGTACGTGATGATGTCACCACAGGAAGTTTTGACCGGGTCCAGTCAGAGAACAATTGCACCTCGAACTCAGCCATACATAATGTAATTATGGACTTCTAGCAGTTTTATTTTATTTGCAATAAACTCGATCTACAAACACGTCTGTGTGTTGTTGTGTTTGTAGGAAGCAGGACGCTCCTCGAGGTTCCAGGGATGAGAAACGACGAGCTCAGCACAATGAAGGTCAGTCTTCATACCCAGCCTGTTAGCCACTCATTAGATGCTGAAATATGGAGCCAGGCTGAGGGGTTTGCACGTGTAAATAACTTGTAACTACTTTGTTAAAGACAAAAACAAGTTAATCTCATTTTTTAAACAGTAAAATCTGATACATTTTAGCTGTCATGAAAGTAGAGGACACCAGATGGACAGGGTCAATCAAAAACAGGTTGATTCGTTTATTTATCACAACTCATCACTGAAGTGGACTTTCTGCAATTACAGAGATTTTTTTTTTACCATATATTTATCAAATGAGGAGACTGAGTCAAAGAATTTATTAGAAAAATAAACTAAATGTGAATAAAATCAATAACACTAAATTAGTAGCTGAGGATTTGAAAAATGAGATTTTGAAGAAATGATGGAAATAATTACTTAAAACTGATAATTTAACAATACAAGATAAAAATAGTAATAATTAACCCTTGAATTTCCAAGATAAAAGCAGTGATTATCATGTAAAACCAAAAGAATGTTGTTGACAGGATCTTATTTAGGTTTTAGTCACGCAGGAATTAAGATCAGAGATAACCTAATTTCTAATTGAATTTTTAATTTCCCTAATTTCCCTCTGTGATCAATAAAGTATTTTTGAATTGAATTTGAATAAGTTTACTGTGGAATTTATCTGGGAATAGATTAATTTGTCCAGACGAGGTTTGTTACCACTGCAGGTAGAAACATGTTGCATATAATAAACAACACTTTTCTTTCATAAAGATCTTGAACAGATTAGCTGGCTGACCAGCACAGAGCTCATGTCTGAACATTTCTAAATCAAATGTCCCAACAGTTGAGCGCAGGCGCAGGGACAAGATTAACAACTGGATTGTACAACTTTCTAAAACCATTCCAGACTGCAACGTGGACTACACCAAAACAGGACAGGTGGGTGTTGATCCGTCTTTAAACTCATGACATGAGTTGGTTTGTGAGGCTGGAGCTCTGAAAGCTCCTGCATGTGTTTGTGTTTCAGAGTAAAGGTGGGATCTTATCAAAGGCCTGTGAGTACATTAAAGAGCTGCGACAAAGCAACATGAAGCTGGGTGAAGATACCAGCATTTTGGAACGGCTGCGAGTCGACAACCAGCTGCTCAGACAGGAAGTATGTGGTTAGCATGTGGTTAGCATGTTATCTAGCCTTTTTACTTCTTGATCACCATCTATGTACTGCGTGTTACTAAAGTATTCAGTCTGTTGGTGGTTTTCACTCTTATACAGGAAATAAATGTGCTTTTAATTTGTTTACGTGATGAATCTACACAACAAACTGCAGCTTATTTGGAGTGGACTAGTTTTAACTCCATCCTTATCTATACTTGCTTCTTCCTTTCAGGGTGATTGGTGCCCATATCCATTAGTCACTGTGTGAGGGACAGTGTCCACTCTGTACAGGTCTCAGTCCATCACAGGGACAGTTTAGAGTTACCCATTAACCAATTAACAGTCATGTTTTTGCTCTGTGGAAGGAAACGTAATGTTATGCAAATAACTACTGTTCCCTGAAGGAAAGGAACGAGGTACAACACATCATGTTTGGGAAACCACGCCCCTGCGTGTCCTGGCTGAAGCCACCTCTAATCACGCCTTTAGGCAGGTGACGTGATGACGACAGATGTCAGGCTCCGCCTGCACATATATACAGTATACTGTCCGCCATCGCAGTCACTCCTTAGTTCAGTAACTGCTCTTCACCAAGCCCAGCTGTGCAGCGGGGCCACCATGTGTTGTACCTCGTTCCTTTCCTTCAGGGAACAGTAGTTATATGCATAACATVACGTTCCCTTWCAGTCAATTCACTCGGTACAACATCATGTATGGGACATATATAAACGCCCCGCAGAGCAGCACCAAACTTGGGTCATAATAACATGCTAGTGCAGCACATCAGACCCAGCGGAGAGCACAGAGTGAGCCACCGAAGGGGCTGTCACATCTAAGCGATAAAACTGAACAAATGTGTGCGGTGAAGACCAGCTGGCCGCAGCACAGATGTCACTCACAGGTACCCCTTTAAATAGGGCCCAGGATGCTGCTACACCCCTGGTGGAGTGAGCTCTCACACCAGATGGGACTGGGAGACCCCTGCTGCTGTAAGCTAACGAGATAGCCTCCACAATCCAGTGGGAGAGTCTCTGTCTAGACAGAGCTCTGCCCCTGAGTGGGTTAGCAACACACACAAACAGCTGATCACATGACCTCACCTCCTGTGTGCGGTCAATGTAAACACGCAGTGCACGTAGAGGACACAGAGAATGTAACCTCCTCTGCTCCTCAGATGCAAAAGGAGGATAAAAACTAGAAAGCTCAATAGACCTGGAGCTGTAGTTAGAAGGTATCACCTTAGGGAGATACGCTGAGTTTGGATGCAGAACCACCTTGGAGCCATCAGGTGAAAACTGAACACAGGAGGGATTCACAGACAGAGCATGGAGATCCCCGACCCGTTTAACAGTTGTTAGTGCCAGAAGCAACACAACTTTATATGAAAGGAACTTCAAATCCACAGACTCCAGGGTCTCAAAGCAGGGTCACAGAGAGCCCGCAGGGCTTCAGCCAGCTTTTCCCTCAGCTCGAACTTTGTCTGAATGACGTCAAGAGACTGACCAAATAACCCAACAGCCATAACTGGTTCATCCAGGTATGCAGCTCGGTCTCTGTCAGGGACATCAGAGAGCGTCAACCACAGATGCCTCTGCGCCACCATGGTTGAAGTCAACCCTCTGCCCAGGGAGAGCGCTACGCCGCGGGACGCACAGAGGACGTAATCCGCGGTGAGACTGACCTCGTTTAAGAGAGGTAACAGAGGACTCTCGGGCGGTACCTGAGCTCCGAGCTCTGCCAGAGACATAACCTGGGAAGTCTGGAGCATGCTAATGGAGCTCAGACCGCGAGCAATGGTGGCCTGAGCCTTGTAAATTTTTTCAAGCTGCGCAGCAGTAAATCTACACGGCTTTGAAGGAAGCGTGGTGGGCCCTCTCACTCCAAGGTCGTGAGACGGGGCCAAATACGCTGCTTGGGACGGTTCCATAGGAGGAATGTTCACTAGCCCAGCTTTATCAGCTCCCTCCAGATCCAAATACTGTCCATAACCGGGTACTGTGACGCAGGCGGACAGAGGTTTGCTCCAGCAGGACGTCAGCTCCGAGACAAAGTCTGGGAACATGGGAAGACGGTTCTTCACTATGGTCGGTTCAGTGGGGAGAAAAAACCCCGCGAACTGCGACGGTTTTTGTGCAGGAGGGGGAGCAGGCCAATCCACCTCCAGTTTCTGAGCCGTACGACGACACAAGGAGAGAAAAGACGTGTCCTCCTGGTCCGCCTCCGCAGCAGCGGGGGCATCTCGGCTCGGACCGGGTTCGTCGTTGTCTTCCGACAGTTGAACATCCAAGCCACTATCCGGCACGTCCTCATCTCCCTGGTGGAGGCCCAGCGGAAACTGGGAAGCCTCCCCTTCATCATCGGCTAACCCCTCCATGTACTCTACTTGGTCCGACCAGCTTGACCGACAAAACCTCCGCGTCAGACTCAGACAGAACCGGGTTGCTGGACTCGGAGAGGAGTGGGTCTTGTCGCGCGACCGCGGTTTCACCCAGCACTTTTTCTAAGAACTTAATCCGTCCCTCCAGGGTTGAGTTACAAAGCTGGCGACAAACGCACATGCTTCGGGCTCCGCCAAAGCTCTCCGAGCGTGAACGGTCCCCAGACAGACCGGACCAGCCTCGTGCTGGTCCTTCTCGTGGAGCAAGAAGCCACACCCACAGGGGTGAACCGACGACTTCTGCTCCTTTTGAGGTAATTTTGCGCTCGTCTCGAACCACAAAATATTTTATTTTGTTGAAATGAAAGGCTACTCAAAGCTAGCGCTCCGCGGGCGGACACACTTACCTGTAGGCAGCGGCGGCCAACACCAACAAAAGCAGTTAAGCTAACTTTAAGAGCCTTCGAACAAACAAAGCTAACTAGCAGCAGCTAATTAGCCGGATTGGAAGAGGTGTTCTAAGCGAGGTGAAGCGCGTTAGAACTGAGGAGTGACCGTGATGGCAGACAGTATATTTGTGCAGGCGGAGCCTGACTTCTGTCGTCATCACGTCACCTGTCTAAAGACGTGATTAGAGGTGGTTTCAGCCAGGACACGCAGGGGCGTGGCTTCCCATACATGATATGTTGTACCGAGTGAATTGACTGAAAGGGAACCAGAGTATTCAGAGAAAACCCACAGATGCATGGAGAGAACGTAAAAACTCTACCCAGAAAGGTCCTGGGCTGGGATTTGATCCGGCAACCTTCTTGCTGAGAAGCAACAGCTCTACCAAAAACCCCACTGTCCCACCCAGATTTAACAGTTCTAAAACTATCTGTTGTAGGGAGGTGGTCCTCCAGTCACATGATCCACAGCTCTCTGCCCAAGTGTGTTTGAGCAGGACGCTAAACTTACTAGTAATTGAAGTAATTTATATATTTTACTTCTTTTGTTATTAGTATTATTCCATTACCAAAGTTTTACCCAAAGACTTGCATAAAGTTGAACAATAAACCTTTTTTTTCTGGTAAAGTTTGGGGTCTAAACATAAATCCTTCTCTTGTTACTTTCAAACCGTTCACGAAGTTTCTGCATCGTTTCAGGAGACCTCTGCCCATAAATATGTCGTCTGTGCAGTATCCAGGATGCACACAACCAAAACTGGATATCTAAGTTGACTAAATGTCCACTGTTGTGTGTTTTTATACAGGTGGAAGACTGGAAATCCAAGAACCAGATTCTAAGAAACCTTTTGCGACAGCATGGCATTGTGGGATCCTCCAGCAAAGACTCTCAGTAAGGAGCTTATGTCAAGCAGGTGTTTGAAGAGCGCTTCATACGGGCCAAAAGAACGACTCGACATGTGCTTCCTGTCATTGAGCATGCACACAATGGAAGGGATTGTTGAAATGTTGTCATGAGGATTCAACAACTACTTTGAACTCCGTTTGTTTTGACGCTTAAGTCCTTTATCTGGTAATTCCAACACAGTTGTTGAACATATTGGGTCTTAAAAATAAAGTAAAGAGTTCTAGTAAGAGCTTCATGAAATGCCTTCTTTCACAAACTGATTGTTCACTAATGTCCAGTACCTGAAGCTGTAAACCAGTTATTTTAAACCTTGTCATGTTGTGTTTTTATGTTCGGTATTTTGGTTTCAGTTTATCCTTAAATTGTTATATTTTATCATGACTTTTTACAAGCTGATGCCAAATTTGTCTTTTTTTTTCTCTTGTTTTGTTTCACTGAGCCTCTTTGGGGACACTAATTACATTGCAGCAATCCAATGTAATTTAACCTTTGAATTATTTGAATCCTATTATGTCTTTTTAATAAAAAAAAAAAAGTCAAATAATATGCTGTACCTCTTGGATAAGATTTCTTCACCTTATTCCTACAGTAAATCATTGGACATATTGTGATGGACTAAACATATGGGAACTGTTACAACTGGAAACATACTTCAGTCATACCTGCTGCTTCAGTTGGGTCCTGCAAGGACTAAAAACACTGTCGTCATATCTGAATCATTACATTAGACAAAAGTGGATTAATTATATTATTGCCTATAATCTGTTTGAACTAACAAATAAACTTTCATCAGAATTAAGGTGCATTTTATTTTTTCATTTATTCCTCCAGTTTCAGTAGGAAATACTTTTGGTAACCCTCCCCAGGCTCAGGCTCTTATTTTGAAGCCACAATCTCAACCTTTTTCTGGACGTTAGTAACTTTTTATTAAAACTATGAAAACCGAAGAATTTTAGCAAAACTTAAAAGATTATGTTTCAAAAATAAATGTTTTTGAGATCTCTCTCTCTCATCAAAAGCCTCCTCACTGGTACTTCCGCTGTCATACCGGAAGTTACACCCATTCACATGTTTCTGTGTTTATCATCAACATAATTTATTATAGTATACTGTAAGTATATAAACCTATATAACAACATGAAATACTCTGTTGGGTTCAGTCATGTTTTCCGGCCAGAGGATAAACTGCGCCCGGTCGCGATTAAACATTTTACTTTGAAGGGTTCTTCCGGAAGTGTGCTTGTGTGAGTTGTTTACATTACTGGAGAAACAAGTGAGGTTTTTCTTGTCGGACTGGACTGTATCTGCACATTACAGCCGCAGCAGGACTCAGGCAGGTCAGGGATGATCTGCATACTGCTGGTAGCCGGACACGGCACGGTGTTAGACACACAAATCAAGGTAAAAGTTTTAAATGTTGCTGAAACACAAGCGGTGCAAAGTTCACTCACAACACGGCCTTACTGCACAATAATGTGTCGGTTTCTTTTTAGTGCCCATTGGATCCGTGCTGCAGCTTTGGCTTCGGTTCTTCCGTGTTTGCTGTGTTAAAAACACGATAAACATTAACAGAATAATAATGAAAATTAGAAGTGTCAACATCTACATCACAGCAGCGCTGCAGTTCTCTACGGGAGCCGTGAAAGGACAAACCGTCCAACATGACTTTAGGTCCACATGATGCATCAGTATTTACTGGGTCAGAATCAATTAATATTTCCTGAGAACCGGAGCCAAACATGGCTAAAGAAAGTGGTTAAAGAGAAACTAGCAGACAAAGTTGAGCTCTGATCAGTTGTGAGTCCCCTGCAGGGCCGGATCGAGGGTTTTTCTGAGTCAGGGGCCATCAAGGCCCCACAGTGTTCACAGAGGGGCCAGTCTTTGTTCAGCATCCTTTCACACAAATACCTGGTTTGTTAGTGTTTACAGTTAACCAGTTCAAACACTTATAATGTAATTATTTAAAAAAAAAACAGTACCACTTTACAATGAGGCTCTTCTTATCGATGGACTTTAAAGAGTTTATAGATAGGTTATTAATTCATCTGTAAACACTTTATAATTTATTAATAAGTGTTTATTTTGCGTTAGCTAAGGTAAAAAAGAGACTAAACTGGTTTATTACCAAATACTGAGCCAAATCTGTTTGAGTATTAAACATTTCAGACCTATCTTGTAGCACAATAATGATTAGGAAACACATATTTTAACATATAATAATGTACTGTATTACTGCAMTATAAATATCCACAKATATTAAAGGGATCCTTATTSTACAGTGTAAAACTGTACACTATTTTAGATTGGGTGGGATTATTTGGTATGTTAGCATGATGTTTTTGTACTTTTACGTTTTTGATACATTGTTGACATTAGTTACATGTTTGAACAATAATTTCAAATATTGATAATCAACACTAAGTTTTAAAAATGATGATTATTTACATTAAAGACTAACTTTTGGCATTTGTAAATGTTTATTTGTCATTAATAATAATGTACTGTTTTACACTTTATGATAAGTTTCCCTTTGACAGCTGTGAATATTTATAATGCAGTAACTTACATGTCAACCTCTGCGGACGTTTACCTGTATAAAAAGCTTCAAAAATCCATAAATTTTGCAAAAACTTCGTACAACTCGCACCCGCGGGGGGGTGGGGGGGTCTGTCGGCTGGGGACATGACAGCGTCCCGCTGAGCAGCAGGAGGAGAGGAGAGCGGAAAAAGTTCAAAACTTGTTTCTAGCAGCAGAACAGGTTAAAAGATGGCTGTTTGATGTTATTTATTGTTTTTTAAATCATCCTATAGGCTCTGACATGTTAGATAAATTTGAAAATGAGGTTTTTAAAATATTTGTAAGACTTGAAAAAAATCCGTGAGATTGCTCTATACGTCTGTATACCTGCAAAATGATGTCAAATCCTTATAACTTACAGACAATCTGTACAAGATGACATGTATGCAGTAATACAGTACAATATTAATATGTTAAAATCTGTTTTCCTTTCATTATTGTGCTTACAATGTAGAAACCTTGTCTGAAATGTTTAATAAGCACCTTTAGCTGTAATATGTACATGAACAGATTTGTCTCATTATTTGATAAGAAAGTGGACAGTTTTGTCTTTATCATCCTTAATTATTGCATAATAAACATTTATTAATGATGTACAAAGTGTTTACAGATGAATTAATATCCTATTTATAAGACATTTATAAGGGGAGCCTTATTGTAAAGTGGTACCAAAAAAATTGCTCAGTAAATTTTCAGTCAATTCCCAGTTTTTCATACATTTTACTGATTGTTTAAATTTTCTTAATAAGAGAAGAAGAATTCTGTGAACTTGATTCATTCTGGATTTTATTATTTGACTCATTAACTCAACTAGTGTTTGAACTGCAGCCACCATCATCACTCCCGTAAAGGACAGATGAGTGACAGGACAGGGGCACTCAGGGGGCCAATCAGATTTCAGCTGGGGCCAGTGCCCCTGTGGCCCCGCCCCTAGAACCGCCCCTGCTAATCAGTCAAACTGGCTGAAGTACATTCACTTCAATGTGTTTAACAGCTGGTTTTGGTTTAGGTTGGCTTCAAAGGGTAATCAGGTCTGATGTACATTCAGTTATTTCATGAATGTGTCCTGCACTTCGTGACCAAAAATAAGTCTAAAAGTAGAAAATGATCAAAATTTTAGAGGATTGATTGATTTTTAATTTTAATTATTAGTATTTATTTTTGCTGCACAGAATGATGTCACCGGGTTCTACAGCCACCTGACTGGAGTCCCAAAGGCTTTGCTTCCAGGGATCGGTGGGAAGAAGATCCTTGACTTCTGGTGGGAAACAGTCAACATGTACGTTGAGCTGGTCCAAACACATGCACGTTTACAATCTGCTGCTTCTGATTCTGTGAACGTTCGTTTAGCATTCACACTGTAGATTTCCTGCTTTTTAGTTTTAGTTACATGTTTTGTCAATGAGACTAATTCTGCTTACTTTGTGATGTATTGGAGTCATTCCTGTTCCCTGATTTTTTATGCTGCTATTAATTTTCAGCTACTGTTCTGCTACTTTTAGCTTTTCCACAACATTTTTCTACTTTTAACTAGCCTAATTGGTTTTATGTAGCCTTTGGTTATTAGCTTTTTGGTACTTTTAGCTAGTTTTTTGCTATTTTAGTTTTTTTTTCTGATTTCAGATTTTAGATAAACTTTTACTACTTTTAAATGTTTTGGTACCGTTAGGTTCATATCTATTACAGAAAAGGTAGAAGAAAAGATGTGTTAACACAAACAAAGAGGCTGTTGTAGCTGGAGACGTTAGCATGAGCACAGACAGAGACGGCTCTTGGCATAGGTGAACTAGGCGGTCGCCTAGAGCGCCATCTGCTGGAGGGGGCGTCGAACTGCAGAAGAAAAAAATAATTATTTGTAATCTCTGGTTGTAACTCTGCTCAGCGCCCCTTTCATTTAGCTTTGTCTTAAAAAAACTATAACGAAGTATTACAGGAAAATTAAACTACTCTACCCATACAACATTTTCTCCCCCAATGCAGCAAACACCCCCACCCTCTCTCTCATTTGATTGACGTTGCACTGACTCATCCTGCTCCGACACTCTGATGGGGGAGGGGCTAGTAGTGCCTCTCAGGTAGTGGTTTGTGTTGACAAACTCAATAACATCAAGTCTGTATTTTGTTGTCCCATACATGTCAACCTCTTCAGACGTTTACCTGATAAAAAGACTCAAAAATCTGTACATTTAGCAAAAACTCCATACAACTCACACCCCAGGTTGGAAGATTTTAAGATTAGAAGAGTTTAATGTTATTTAATGTTTTTTAAAATGGTAAATGGTAAATGGTACTGAACTTATAGAGCGCTTTTCAAGTCCCTCCGGACCCCCAAAGCGCTTTACACTAACAGACATTCACCCATTCACACTCACATTCACACACTGATGATGGCAAACTACACTGTAGCCACAGCTGCCCTGTGGCACACTGACAGAGGTGGGGCTACCATGCAT